TAAACTGAGACACTCGATGGAAACTTGAAACGTATATTAGCTAATAACCGATGAAGAATTCATTCTCCAGAGATTTATGAAAAGGTAATATTTAGTTTGGTATGTTCATCGGTAATTTTGCAGTAAAATTCTAACATTCACACATTGGATTGACGTAGTGTAATCATACATTTCATAAAGATAGGGGAATTAACTGACGTTCATTATTCTTCTTGGTACTGTCAAATGCAGTTTTCAATTTAAAAATGGAACTTTTACTTGTTAAAAATAATAACAGAATTAAGATTTGACATAGTTTCAAGAAAGAGAATTTATCAGTTTCGATTTGAGAACAGTGATCGACAAATAAAAAATAGACAAAACATTTAAGTTCGAATACTGTTTTAGCATGCTGATGTCACGCATAAATCAGATATCGTGAATTCCTCGAATTATAAGAAAAGCACTTAGAGAATGTCAAAGTAAATTGAAGAGAGAGACGATTAATTTAAAACTGCCTATAGATAGACCACTAAAACGATTGTTGGGAACAATCGATTGTCCGTTAAATTCGTCACAAATAACATCTAGTCGATATCCATATAGCATGGCAACAGAGACAAAATAAACATTTTCTTTTTTACCTAAATAGAATTCCGTTAGTAACATTTATACAGAAGAGTACAACCAAAGTGGCATGAATTTTTCCTGAATTAAAATTTCTTTCCAATAACCGATGCATTGTCTTTTTCACAATTTCTATCAGAATTTACATTTATTTGCTACAACCACTATTCGTTCGATTCAACGATTATTCACGGAAACTAACACTACGAAGTACATACGTTTACGCAAGCTAAATCAAAGTTACTCAGGTCAACCATCCTCATTGCGTTCCTTAAGTAAATCGATTTGCGTTACTGTGAGCAAACCCGGTCGAATAAACATATTCGTTACCAGGAGATTGCGATCGAAATTGCCACTGGCAAAATCAAAACGTTCCTTCAGAGGAAATCCAGAGATTCAAGACGGGTATCGTGTACAATCAAACCGAAGGGGCTACCTTTCAAGCTAAAGCAAGGCCAGGTCGACCAATCCAAATGTTTCTCTTTGATGAAGCTGTTGACAGGAGAGCTTGTAATTTAGTCAGTGTACCTGTAACAGACAAGAAAACCGAACTGGTGATTACTCTGGTTCAAGATTGTATTTTAGTCGAAAAGGTTTGGTTTGGAAGAAATATTCCTATTATTTAATGAACGATTATTTTTTCCAAAATACATTGAAAATGTAACAGTATATTGATAAGTAGTGTAACGAAATATCGTATGTTTGGAAAATAAGAATAAAAGTACATTAAAGTTCATAAAGCTCTGTTACGATGTATAAGAAAGTATATTTCTGTACATTTCTACGATAGAACTTTATGTATTAGTACGATATCTTGCTCAGTGTCTGACCAAATGAACTGTTGCCGACTGAATCTACTTATCCGAACGTAAATTCCAAATATGTACGCTTAAATTGTTTTTCTATTCCCCACATCAAAATGTATCATCCCACTTAAACTCCCTAATTTCAAATGCTTTAAAGTATCCCTTCCCTAACCATTGACCTAACCCTAAACATTTTACATCTTCCCTCCAACACAACGATCTCTTATTCAAAGTAAGAATTACCATGAAATTCGCGTTTCGCGCGTATAGAGCAACTCAGAGCCACGTAAACCTAATCTCTTCGAGACATAACATAAACGTGGACATTCGCTTCAGAATGGTGGGTTATTTATGTTTGTAGAAAAATACAATAATTTTTAATACCAATAGAAATGTATATAGTGCACTTGATAAAATTCAATAATAGTAATTACACATTAACAATGAACACCTACGTGATACTAATATGGTTTTAACTAACGGTTGGGCTTCGCGCAATGCCACCGTGGCGTCACCGCTTATTATAGCGTTAAAACGCGAAAACCCACGTCGTGACATGAGAAATTCTGAATAGATACACGGACGCTACTAGCTCTACGCCTTGTTGTCAACTACGCCGGAACGAACAGCAGAAGTTATCTTGGAACGTGGAGAACGCGCGCGTTCGCGTGCCGGTGTAACAGGAATTGTTTATCATGGGCCCTTTTGTTCGTCGGTTGGAACAATACGCGATGCACGTCGGTCTCTCTGTTTCCACGCCATCAATATCCCTCTGCCGTGCTTCTTCTCTGAATGTCGGCCGTTTTATACCGATGTCATGGAAGGCGACATTCAACGGGACAATCGGCCGGTGCAAAGGAAACGGAACGACGTGCTTTCGAATTAAATTATTTTCACTTTCGTACCACGCGCGCGGCTTTTTGTCCCGCCCAGCCATTCATCGGGTGTAGTTCTCCATGGAGAAGGTTCGTTTCCGCATAGGGACTGCAGAATAGCTGTATTCGTTCGTGTACGTGTTTCTGAATTGGGAAGTATTACGAGTCGCAAAGATCGTTTCGTCGCATGACAGTGTGAAGTTGTTATTGGAAAAATTGTGAAACTTGTATAGAAATGTGAAGTCCTTTATACTTTCTGTCTGATGGTTTCGTAGGATTGTTACTATAATTTTTGATAAATTTTTTATTCAAATATTTTAATATCGTTACACGCACGTAGATACAATATGTCGTAAATGTGAATTAAACGTTTTTTAAATTATATTACAATAGTTGAATGTTTTTACATTGATAACTACTCAGAGGTATATAAATGCATTTAATACATACAATAATATATCCGAAATAATTTATTACCTTTTATTATTATTTATTAAATTTAATCACCTATGCAAATTCTTCTGCGAGAGACGTGTTATTAGATAGTTGTTAGAAAGAAATAATTAAAATTATTGGTTTGATTTCACCGCTTATCCAGATGTGTGCGTTTAATCTAACTCCAATCGTAAAACTCCTCTTCACTCAAGCAAACTTTTAAATTAGAAAATTTCCTATATATCATAGTTTTATCTCCAATAAATTCGACAATCGAATCTCAAACTGATTGAGCACGTTCTGTTCTTCATGACTGGTATGTGGTTCGCGTTTATCCATTTAGACTATTTTGAGCGACACGTAAGACAAAATCACCGCGTTTCTTTCTGTGAATATACCTTTGTTTCTGCGTTAGTGCACAGGGAGCCGTCGCACTTATTGTTTGTCGATTCATCGGGTACAGGCGCTCGTAATCCGCGACGGGCTTCCAGGATAGAAACCGCGGTGCACGTTTCAACGTCGCGTCGCGTTGCAGCTAGTCAACGGCGATACGTTTTGTCTCGCAGTGACGTGCGTGCACCGGGGCCCTGCATTATTCGCACGTGCACGCGCGACTCCGACCGCTTCGAAACGTTTTAGAACGGCGTTCGTTTGAAATTGTGGGAGCTAAAAACGTCTCGGGAAGAGATACGAATTATTTGCAGAGAATTTAGTCCTCGATAATCGCGTTTGAGATTATAACTACGTAACGTTGGATGAATATATTTTATACTCTGCATTCTAATGGAATTAAATCTGCTTATTTCGCTGAAACGCAGTTTAGTGACAAAGAAAATGTTTGGATTAATTTATTGGCGCGAAGGTGTTGATCTTTTATCGATGTTTCTTCGAATATTTGAGTCGTCAGTAGATCAAATACATGCTCGAACGATATAGAAACAGAATGCAAATACTTGCAGGATTAATACATTTCTAGCAGTTCGTCATAATCATTTTATCATACAATATGTAATATTTACTCAGTGTACCGTAAAATACGATCGTTAGGAAAACCTACCATTAACTATAACTACCATTAGAAAGGCGTCAGCAATTGTCGAGAACTATCTATGATGGCGCTTACAGAGAATCATAATGCATTATTCATTGAGAACTCGATGATATCGTAATACAGAATATTTTTAGAACGTACCTACCAATCACATCAAATCAAATGTTGCAACCACGATGATATCACGAGATCATTCTCTTCTCATTAAGTACTTATCACGACATTTATCTAATATTATAATTTATCGCGATATTTCAGCTCCTGACGATAATAACTGAGATTTCTTTCCATAAACAATTCGTAAACAATACCCGCATCCCTTACTGCTTCGATTGATCTCTTCATTCCAAACTCGATCGTTGATAAAATAATAACGATCGGCCGATGACAAGTTCGATACAACCGTCTCACTTATCAACTCCTGTCACTATTTATGTCTCGTTGGTTTCTAAATCTTTATTTTCCATAATACTTCATCCGTCTCATCGCCGACACACCTTCCCGACGTTCATTCGCGCAAATTCACTTTACAGTCTGTCGTATATATTCCAACAGAAGCTTTAGAAAACTCAGCGCGCGCGATTCAATAGCACAGGGACGACTGTTGTCGAGGCGTATCCATTGATCACTGAATATACAGCTTATAGAGCGTTGACGATAGGCGTTAAAAACGCCGTAGCGAACGTAGCATTTCGTCGGCGTCGCGACGCCTCTTTCGCGAAGAACGACCGTCTTTTCTTGTTCGAGGCACTCGACGACATGACGGCAGCTCATTCACATCGTCGAGCGGTTACGAGCGGCTTGCATGCCGACGCACGTGCGTCCGGAACTCTCGTAATCGACGCCATCCCTGAACGTCGAGACAATTAATCGTTACGCCCACTCGCGCGCCCGGTATTTCGAGTACCAGACGCTTGATCGACGTCCGGCGAATAACCATCGTAAAAAATGCGATGAATGTTTGATTCCAACGATAGAAAATGTTACTTACGTTCGAAGTTGAAGCGTGGCAATTTTTGGGACTATTTGGACAGAAACTCGCGTGATATTTTTTTTCATCGCTATTTCTTTCACTTGAATGGATGCCTAGCACTTAGATTTTATGAAATTTAAGAAATTGCGGTGTTTGTAACACTGTCACAAACTATTGCTCGATCTTTAATAAGTTAACTAGGTAAATTGAATAAGTGAATTGCACAATTTCAGTCTAGTCTTCTTTTCTATTTCAAATATAAGATATCTATTTCTATTAAAATTTGATATCGATTTTAGCTTAGAATAAAGCCAGCAAAAAATCCAATTAAATGTAAATTCAATATTTTATATATCTGTGCAAAAAATCAATCGGTATATCTAGAAATTAATATTTCACACAAAAAATCTATAAAAATATAATACTAGATTAAAAGTCCCAACCAGAAAAATCACAAATTTACTCAACTACCATCATAAGAATATCGTTGTTGTACACTGTGATAAGTCTCCGCGTTATTTGACTTAACGTCACCCGAAATTCTCCGATAGAAACAGCATCGATCCCGACAAAACAAACTGCCGTCAAAGGAGCCTACAGTAGTTGGAATTTATCCAGCCTCGAACTTTCCTTCAAGTAGCGTTCTACACATTTGCTTGGTGACGCTAAGAAAACGTTGGCAAAGACGTCGAGACGCGACTGGGCTAAGGAAAGGAACCAAACCGGAAGGAAATCCGGCCGAATCGTTTTACGGAGTCGAGATAAACCTGTATCATCCTGTCGCTGTTGCATTCGCTTGTAACTTCTTCCAAATCCTTGATTTATTCATCTGTGATTTCTTTCGGCGCAAACGTGACGCGCGGCGAACATGCGACGACCTTGCTATTCAAAATGTAGAAATACCGAATTCTACGCTGCGTCGTCGCTGTGAAATTGCAACGTTGCGTCGTCGTCCATCTCCATTATACCTAATAAGGAAAACTATCACGACAAAATATGTTGCATTCGCAGTAAAAATACTGAAGTCCCCTAGCAACTGTCAAATTTCTCTCCAACAACAATTTCTCCATATTTGACGAATATATCACAGCGAAACTTTTTGACCAAACACAGCGCACAATAGCGTACAATCCTTCAATAAAAAACACGAAGCTGCCAAATCGTCCAACATCGCCATTACAAAATCACGATAACATCTCGTCCACATTGGGCCTCGCGATGCGTCGCGACGCGACAGCAACGAACAATTGTTGAGGCTGAAGCTGGATCGAATTGGGCAATAAAATCGGCCAGGCTTCGCCAGAAATATATTTCAATTTTCGCGCGATCGGGACAGGGGAAAGAAAGGCGTAGTGCCGGAGGGAAGGGTGCGGTCGGAGCATGCGATAAATCGAACGGCCGTGTAAATATTCCTGTGCCCCGGCCGGTAGTGGCGGGTACATGCACTTCGCCACGAGCTTGCCACCGCGTGCACGCCGATATTTATCGTCGAGATAGCTCGAATAATACAGAACACCCAGGAGCACGGTTTTTCACGGAAGCCGGGTGCCCGAATCGGGACTTCGAATTAGTTTCCGGGTTCGATTGACCGGATCGAAGCGGGGGTGACGAGTCGACGAATCCCGGGATGTGCCAGTTCTATCGGGTCGGTCATACACTCGTTAAACTCTTCGGTGGTTACCAAATTCACGACGTATTCGATATGTCCCCTGACTATTTATTTTCTCAACTATTTCCTGTTTTTTGACTGTGGTAAAACGACATAGTATGATATTTATTATATACATCGTCTGTTATAGCATTTTGTAAATCACGATGGGACATTTTATAAAAATTGTTGTTTTATGAAACTGGTGAAATATTACAATAGAAATTCCCTAGAATTTTCGGTTGTTTAAATAGTTTGCAGAACAACGAAGAAGTCGTCTGTGATTTATTCCCAAATTATTTGCAATTTAGTTCTGTATTCATGAACACAATTATAAACCGTATTCTACAATATAAAGAGAACGTTAAGGAAATTTATGAACTTCTATTGGAATCGATATCTGCTAGAACGATGATTAATAATTGAATATGACCGAACTGAGAATGATCAGAATAAAATCAAACAAATTTTTTAACCTGCTCGTGTTGCGAATTAAATTACAATGATCTATACAGGTGTAACACAAGCTCCATAAGCGTTGCAAACAGTATTGAAACGACACACGTAACAAACTGTGGGTAATTTCAATCAAGCCGAGCTTCAACTGGAATTATTTGTATGGCGGACAGTTATGAAGTTTCATCAGTTACTCGCGTGATTGACACTGCTTGTATTTCGTATCAACTCATAGAATTGCGCGTAATTCGATCCTCTAATAGTCTGAGAAATTGTCCACGATTGACACAGCTGTTGCAATTCCAAAGTTTCAGGATACCTCCTACGCAAAAATTGTCATTCGCAATAACCACACGCACGTATGCATTCTGTTTTGTATCGACTCAAACCCACGTTCAAATTTTTCGAGTTTATTTTAGTCTGTTCGGTACGGAAATTCTATTTTTAAACGAAAAAGCCTCGCCACTATTTTCTTCCCATTAAAAATACATGTTTATTTCACCGTTTCATTCATTTTGTTTCACCCATAAAGCTGTTTACGACCTCCATATCTTTATTGCTTTGCAAGATCATATATACATATATATATATATGTATGTATCTCCATACACGAATGATCATAATTAAAGCAAATTCATAAAAATAAGTACATATATAAAGCTTCCATTTTAATAAAAGCTAGTATTAATTTTGGAAAAATATCTGGAACTCATAATTTTGCTTAAAAAAATCTTAGTCTAGTGGTAATAACTTCAAGAACATATTACTGCTGCAACATTTTTCATTTTTCGAATGTAAAAAATACAGTGGCTGCAGAAATAATTGCGCACACCATTAGTTTCCAATGATGTGTTGTTTATCAGGTCCTACATTTCATTTAAGGACCATCGAAATTTTTAGTCACATAAAAGTATCTACAACCAAATGATAGGAAATTCAATATATTTGGATTTAACTATACACTGCATACAACATTGTGCAAACACTTTGTGTATTCACTGTATATGAAACAATTATTTCGATTTCGACCTGTATGTGCCACTTTACTTCACATAATTCAACATACGTCCTCCAACTCGAGCCGAACAGACCACGTAAGTCATCACGTAGAGCCACGGATACATAGATCAATCGATGCAATCCGTACGCAGTAACGTTTACTACATTCGATTACCCGTGAAGAACGAAGCAGCCCCACTTCCTCGTAAAATATGAATTACACCCGGATTATCGGTTATTTACGATGGTTCGAGACAAGTTCCGAGTTCCACGCTCGATAAATTTCCTCCATGTCCCCTCGTACTCGTTTTCCGAAGACTTCCACCAGCGATTTTCCCTCGACTTGGTTCGACAACGCAGTTGGCGCTCGGTAACGAGCGTGCCTCGGTAAAAATGCGAAATTAGATCGTTATGTGGCAGAGCAACAAGTATCCGGATATATGGAACGTGGTTCGGTGGCGCAATTACTCGGAACTTTCGATGCGGCGCGCTGGAAAAGCGGAGGTGCTCGAAATTTGACTTCCCTTGGTCTCTGCCAACTCTCGGTTAACTCTAGACGCTGTTGTTCGCTGGATATCTTTGGATCCCATTTTCAGACCATTTTCGGGCTCGTCGTAATCAGCTTAGTTGCCAGCTGAAGCGAAAACTGGGCGAAATTTCAGGCGAACGAATAGCAGAAATTGAGGAGAATTCGTTCGAACGAGGAGAAAGCGAAGAGCAGAAGAAGCAAAGCAAGAAGGACACGTGGTGGAATCGTGGATTTAGAAGCTTTGAAGGCGATTGCTGTGCCGCCGCATCGGCAGCTCGTTAGCATTTCTCGGCCTTTCTGGGACACGTCAACCCAATGACAGTCAGTGATTTAACATTCAACCTGGCCCGCGTTACCCCGTAATCTCGTCGGACGCGAAATAGATTCCGTTTCATCTTGAGCAATGAATCCTGATTGGGACTTCTGATCAAAGCTCGGAAAAAACTATGACTCCGGGAGCAAAGCTGGAGGGCTTCCACGCTGGCAGTCGGAAAGACGGAATTTTCCACGAGACAAGGCACTAGGAAACGTCCGCAATGGTAAGACGCTTTGCAGGGATGAACGATGGAATAGAAATTGCTGTCCGGCCTGAGATTTCTTTCACGACTTAAAAAAAGACCTGTATTCCTGTCGTCGACAGCTTTTAACGTCGAACGGTTTTCATAAATTACGGCGGCTGTATTGTTCGATCATGAACATCTTCGTTTACATGTTGTAGTAGAATATGCATTTTTGGAATTCTTTCTTGCTTTTCGCGTATTATTTTACAGTCTAAAGAAAATTGCGTCTCAGTGAAGAAATGCATAGGCATTGTTAGCTTCGAATATGAACTTTTTATTTGATATATTATCGATATTTTCTCGTAATTAATACCTTGTTACTTTTACACTTTATTTGTTTCATATTAAAATATCATACAACACGAGTAAACTTGTTCCACTGTTCACCAAAATCCCAAAAAACTCTCGCAGTTTGATGAAAAAATACCCAATAAATGGGCAACGGCAAAAACAGAATAACACCAGTATTTATTTAGTGTTTATTCACGCGCCTGTTTCCAAATGAAAAGTAAATGGAAACACCTGTTAAATTAACAGTAAAATTAAAACGGCCCTTGCGAGAAAACCCTCTCGCCAAGCGCCATTCTTCTATTACTCGGTAAACGAGAACTCCTAAAGGAATTCCACGCACAACCACCTTGAAAATCTCCCTAACGGGCAAGACGTGCTCATCATACTCCACTCAGAAATCAATCTGAATCTTCGAATACCAAATTCGAAGGGTAAAATCGAAATCGATGAGCAGTCAATTGCAATTCGGCGTGAAATGCGGTTCGCATTATCCATCGTTCAATAAGGCAGCTTAAGTTTCGAATCAGTCGGGCTACGGATTCACAGCGTACAGAGAAGATCTTCGAACGTAGACGCGGCAAGCATCGAGAGTCAGATCTTTGGACGACTGAAAAGCCAGTTGAAGGGAAGACCGCGAAGTCGGTGCACAAATCAACGAGTCTCGTAACGTTGGCCCGCAACCTTGGTCACGAGGTGAAAGGGCTCGCGGAGCAAGATCGGAGATCCGGGACGCGTAAACCGTTTTGATATACGATCTGGTTATTCTCGATGCGTCCATTGACGT